TAGACAGACAGATAGATAGACAAACAGATAGATAAACAAACAGATAGAGAGACATACAGACAGACAGAGATAGAGAAAGTTGAAAGGCAACAGGGAGGAGGAAAAGAAAAGAATAAAGGGGGAGAAAGTGAAGGATTCGAAGAAGTAAGGAAGAATAAGAAAAGAGAAGAGAAAAGAAATAAAAAAGTAGCGTAACAAAACGTAAGAGGGAAATGAAAGGAAAAAGAAGAATAAGTTAAATGGAATGAAAAGGGGAGAATGGAGGACTTAGCAAGCAAGAGAAAGAGAGAGAGAGAGAGAGAAAGAGAGAGAGAGAGAGAGAGATAGAGAGAGAGAGAGAGAGATAGAGAGAGAGAGAGAGAGAGAGAGAGAGAGAGAGAGAGAGAGAGAGAGAGAGAGAGAGAGAGAGAGAGAGAGAGAGAGAGAGAGAGAGAGAGAGAGAGAGAGAGAGAGAGAGGGGTTGCTAGAGAGATGAATATATACAAAGAGAAATAAATACATAGATAGATAGCTAGAGATAGATAGATAGATATATAAAGACATAGAGAGAATGGGAAGACCCAAGACGAAAGGTGAGGTTGATAGAGAAAACAAACAAACAAACAAAGAAAAAACTGAAAAAAAGAAAAAAAGGAAAGAAGGAAAAAGTAAACGAAAGAAGAAAAAAAACAAGACAAAAAGGAAAAGAAAAAGAAAAGGAAGAAAATGGAAAAAAAAGGTAAAAATCTCTCGTAAAAGTCAACCAAAATCCATAAGGTTCAAAGAGGCGGCATATAAAGTTACAAACTGACTCTTAATGCGACATGGGTGAAGTCTTTTCCAAGTGATATTCGATACTAACAAGACAAACCATTATATCTGAGGATGAAGAGGAAGACGAGAGGAAAGGAAAGAGGAGGAGGAAGGAAGGAAGGAGATAAAAGAATTGGGAAGGGAAGGGAAGAAGGAGGGAAGGAGATCAAAGAATGGGGAAGGGAGGGGAGGAGAAGGAGGAGGGAAGAAGAGAAAGGAAGGGGAAGAGGAAGATAAGAGGAAAGGAAAGAGGAGGAGGAAGGAAGGAAGAAGATAAAAGAACTGGGAAAGGAGGGGAAGAAGGAGGAGGGAAGAAGAGAAAGGGAGGAGAAGAGGAAGACGAGAGGAAAGGAAAGAGGAGGAGGAAGGGAGGAGATAAAAGAATTGGGAAGGGAAGGGAGGAAGAAGGAGGGAAGGAGATCAAAGAACGGGGAAGGGGGAAGAGAAGGAGGAGGGAAGATGATAAAGGAGGTGGAATGGAAGACGACAGGAAAGGAAAGGGAAGGAGCTAAAAGAACGGGGGAAGAGAAGGGAAGAGAAGAGAAGGAGGAGGAAGAAGATAAAAGAATGGGGAAGGAGGAGGAAGAAGGTGAAAGAATGGAGGAAAGCAAAGGAGAGGAAAAGAGAAAGAGGAAGGAAGAAGACGAATGAAAGACAAGAGGACAAAGCAAAGTGGAGTAAAAGGAAGAGATAAAAGAACTGGGAAAGGAAAGGAAGAAGGGCAGGAGGGAAGAAGAGAAAGGGGGAGAAGAGGAAGACGAGAGGAAAGGAAAGAGGGGGGGGGGGTGGAGGTAGAGGAACGGGAGAGATAAAAGAATTGGGAAGGAAAGGGAGGAAGAGGAGGGAAGGTGAATCATAGAATGGGGAAGGGGGAAGTGAAGGAGGGGGGATGATGATTAAGGAGGTGGAATGGAAGACGACGGAAAGGAAAGGCGAAGGAGTAAAAGAACGGGGGAAGAGAGGGAAAGTGAAGAGAAGGAGGGGAAAGAAGATAAAGAATGGGGCGAGGAGGAAGAATTGAAAAGAATGGGGAAGCAAAGGGAAGAGAAAGAGGAAGGAGAAGAGAATAGAAAGACATGAGAAAGACAAGTGGAGTAAAGGAAAAGAGATAAAAGAACTGGGAAAGGAGGGGAAGAAGGAGGAGGAAGAAGAGAAGGAGGAGGAGGAAGACGAGAGGGAAGGAAAGAGGAGGAGGGAGGGGAGGAGATAAAAGAATGGGGAAGGGAAGGGAGGAAGAAGGAGGGAAGGAGATCAAAGAGGGGAAGGGGGATGAGGAAGGAGGTGGAAGATGATAAAGGAGGTGGAATGGAAGACGACAGGAAAGGAAAGGGAAGGAGCAAGGGAGATAAAAGAATGGGGGAGAGAAGAGAAGAGAAGAGAAGGAGGAGGAAGAAGATAAAAGAATGGGGAAGGAGGAGGAAGAAGGTGAAAGAATGGGGAAGCAAAGGGAAGAGAAAGAGGAAGGAAGAAGAGAAAGAAAGACAAGAGGAAAGCAAAGTGGAGTAAAAGGAAGAAGATAAAAAAGGAGGAAGAGAAAGAGGAGGCAAGAAGATAAAGGAGGGGAGAGGGAGGACGAGAAGAAAGGAAATAATAAAGAGGAAGGAGGAATATAAAAGGAAGGGGTTAGGAAGAAGAGAGGAAAGAGGAAAGGGAAAGGAGAAAAATAGATAGGAGAGAGGACAATGATAATGATTATGGTTGTTGTAATTATAATAAAGAGGATAAAACGGATGATATCAATAACAGTAATAGTAAAACAATAATAATGATATCAATAATAGTTATGATAACGATAATTATAATGATAATATTAAGGATAATAATGATAATAAACATGATAGTAATAATAATAATAAGGATAATAAAGATAATCATAATAGCAATGCTAATACTAATACTAATAACAATGATGATGATAAAGATAATCATAATGGTAATGATAATAATCTCTCTCTCTTTCTCTCTTACTCTCTCTCACCTTTTCTTTTTCTCACTTCATCCCTCCTCTCTCTCTCTCTCTCTCTCTCTCTCTCTCTCTCTCTCTCTCTCTCTCTCCTCTCTCTCTCTCTCTCTCTCTCTCTCTCTCTCTCTCTCCTCCTCTCTCTCTCTCTCTCTCTCTCTCTCTCTCTCTTCCTCTCTCTCCGCCTCTCTCTTCCTCTCTCTCTTCCTCTCCTTTATCACCTATCCCAATCCTTCCCATTTGCCTTCTCATTACACCTTCATAGTTCCTCTTATTACCCTTTCTCTATTCCCCTCTTCTCTCTTATCTTCTCCTTTCTCCTTTCTCCTCCCTTTCGTCCTTAAGCTCTCTCCTTCTTTGTTTCTTCCACTCCACTTCATATTAATTTTTATGAATTATATATTTTTTCTTTTATATTTTCGTTTAATTTGATATCTGTCTGATTTACCTTTCTGTCTGTCTGTCTGTCTTTTTGTTTGTCTGTCCTTCTGTCTGTCTGTCTTTCTTTGTCGGTCTCTCTGTTTTTCTGTCAGTCTGTCTTTCTCTGTGTGTGTGTGTGTCTGTTTGTGTGTCTTCCTGTCAGTTTGTTTGTCTGTCTGTCTCTCTGTCTGTTTGTCTTTCTGTCTGTATGTCTGTCTCCCTGTCAGTTTGTCTGCCTCTCTGTCTGTTCGTCTGTCTGTCAGTCCGTCTGTTTGTAAGTCCTTCTGTTTGTCTGTCTCTCTATCTGTTTGTCTGTCTGTTTGTTTGTCCCTCTTTTTGTCTCTCTTTCTGTCTGTCAGTCTCTTTGTCCGTCTGCAAAAAAGCAAGAAAAAAAGTAAGAAAGAAAGGAAGAGAGAAAGAAAGGGAAAAAGAAAGAAAGAAAGAAAGAGAAAGAGAAAGAAAGAAACAGAGAGAGCAAACCGAAAGAAAAAAAGAAAAAGAAAGAGAAAAAGAAAGAAAAAGCAATAAAGATGGGAAAGAGACAAATCTCCCCCCCCCCCCCCACCACCTCACCCACAACGGATAAGTGTCACAAAAAATTGCTGACAAAAGAACGAGGTAGAAGGAGGGAAGAGGGAGAGAAGGAGGGAAAAAGAAAGAAAGAAGAGGGAGGGAAAAGGGAGGGATGTAGGGAAGGAGAGAAGGAGGGAAGAGGGAGAGAAGGAGGGAAAAGGGAGGGAAGAAAGGAAAGGGGAGGGAAAAGAGAGGGATGTAGGGAAGGAGGGAAGAGGAAGAAAAGGAGGGAAGATGGGAAGAGGGGTGGAATGGGAGAAGAGGGAGGGAAGGGGGAAGAGGGGGGGAGGGAAAAGGGAGGGAAAGAGGGAAGAGGGAGGGAGGGAGGAAAAAGGAGGAAAGGAGGGAGGAAAGAAAGGAAGATGGGTGAGAGAGAGGGAGAGAAAGAGAGAAGGAGAGATGGATATAGAAAGATAGATAGATAGATAGATAGATAGAGAGAGAGAGAGAGTAGGAGAGATGGAGATAAATGAATAAATAGAAAGGGAGACAGAGAAACAGAAAGAAAAAAAGAAAAGAAAAAATCCGATAGATGATAAACCAATATAGAAAAAAAAAAGATAAACTATATAGCATAAACAACCGATCATAATATCACAAGACTTCTTTCTCCTTAAAAGACAAACTTTTAATCTGAAAATGTCTTGAGATGAATCAGCTGGCTTTAAGAACTGAAACGGCTTCTTCATCACCCGAGATAAAGAGATAAGATAAGTGATAGAAAAGATGAGGATGTTTGTTAAGTTTCCTTTTTTTATATCTGTTTCTGGTGTACTTTTTATTGTGGTTTTGATTGTTGGTTTTCGCGTGGAACTATTTTCGTCTTTTCTTGAAAGGCATAGATGTGATTTATTGTTGTTTTTGATGTTGTTGTTACTGTTGTTGTGATTATTGTTATCATTAATTATTATTAATTATCATCATTTTTTTTATTATTATTATTACTATTATTATTATCATAATTATTATCGCTATCAAAAATAGCATTATCATAATTGTTATTATTGTTGTTGTTATTATTATTATTATTATTATTATTATCATTATCATTATTATTATTATCATTATCGTTAGCATTATTATCATTATTATAATTATTATATTATCATTTTTATCAATATAATAAGAATTATTATTATCATTATTATCATCATGCTGATTTTTATTATTAATACTATTAGTATTATGATTTTATTATTATTATTATCATTATTATTATTATCCTGCATCTAACATGGCTCTGTCCCCCGAGCAG